TGCTCCTAGATTCATTTGCAATTCGCGTTCTATGAGTGAAAGCTGCGAATTGTTGATAGAGATTCAAATGTTATTGAATATTAAATGCGATGAATATTAAATATTATTAATATTGCAAGTGATATTACGTATGCGCGATGTTACAGTTTCGATATTCTCAAAATATATCTTTCTCCGCGCTTCACTTTTTTTGCAAAACTGATGAATATCGAGTAAATAATATTAGTAAATGGTAAGCAGTTAATCTCAATTTTCATTAAAGAGTGAAAATTGAGCTATAATAATTTAAAAAAAAAGTGGCTCAATTTTCAATCTTTAAGAGTGATATAAGAGTAATAGCGTATTTCATTCTTCAGAGTGAGATTTTTATACTAAAAGTTTTAGAAAGAGTACATAAATTATAAAATAAAATAATAAAATAAGAATAATGAAATAAGAATAATAAAATTGATATTGCTAATTCCATCTAAAAAACAAAAGATATATAATAAAGACTTCTATATCTATAGAATTTTATATTAAGATAAAATTGACTAATTTTATCTTGATAAAATTTGGAGAGAAATTTTTATTATATGTACTCAAAAATTCTTAGGAATGGAATCTTATTCTAAAGAATAAGAAAATTGAGTAAGTCTTAAAAAAGAATAGGTAATTTAATTTTCTATCTTTAAAACTGAGATTTCACTCTTCAGAATGAGATTTACTCTAAAAATTTTAGAGAGTACAAATTATAAAGTAAATATAATGAAATAAATAGAGAATAATAAAATTAGCGTTACCATTATTTTCGTCTAAAAAGCAAAGTCTATATACATTTTATCTTGGTAAAATTGGAAATCTTTGTTACATACTCTCTTAATTTTTGTCAAGTGGAATCTCACTCTAAAGATTAGAAATTGAGTCATTCTTGAAAAAGAATGAGTCAATTTTCAATCTTTAAGAGTGAGATTTCACTCTAAAAGTTTTAGAGAGTGCTTTGACAGATTTATGGAACAGGATACATACTATAACATAACTATACATTTATATTGTTATATTTAAATTGGTACATTGTCATTTCATATCAATGCAACGCGACGCAAAATAAATAACATCACTTAGATAACGCTTTATAAATCTCGCTTTCCCGGATATTCGGATATCGTTACTAATACTAAAAATATACAGCTTCTTATGACTATCCGGCGTTGCAATGGCATTTGACATCGCCGACATTATCGCTGTAAGTTTTTACTTTCAAATCACTTTTTACGGATAAAAAAAATTACGAAAAACTTACAAAACGATTTCGCTACAGTTTTACGACAGAAATAAACTTCGCTTTTTAAACGTAAACAAAATCGAAAACAAGAGATATACAGGGTGAATCAGAGTCGTTGAACCAGTTTTTTACCCTATGAGAAAATAATTGACTGCACACATTATAATTCAATTAGGTATGAAGTCGATAATTTTCTCATATAGTAAAAAGTTGATTCAACGATTCTGATTCACTCTGTATATATATATATATGTATATATATTAATACTGTTACATTGTCATTTCATATCGATACAACGCGACGCAAGATAAATATATAACTGAGATTGTACATTGCATAAATATTCGAATATTAGTATACGATTACAAAGGATACGGCTACTTACAAAGTTATCTGGCATACCACGTTGCAATTGCAGTCGGCGTTCTCGATATTTCCGACGTCCGTTTTTGCCTGCAAGTTATTTTTTTACAGATAAAATCGTAAAAATCCGCGCGGAGCGATTTTGATACAACTTTACACTAGAGATTACCGGCGTGAAATGGCGGCTGTTGCATGAAGTATCGCGTGCGATGCATCGTCAACTTCGTTTGGTACATTCGCGATCGCGCTCAACAACCTTTACGGTTTAGAATTCGGCTGAAATAAGATATTTTCTTATAACTTATTACATTTAATATTGCATTGCTTGATATTGATGCAATGTGGCGCAGAACATCGCATTGCAAGTCAGATTGTATTATCATATTGCGCAGCTTGGACTGTATTACATTTTTGTTCGAAAATCGTTGCAAACGCTAAAAAGGCGCGGCTATACTCACGATTATCACATTAGAGTTCAGCTAATTGGTGTCTCCGATACAGCCGGCATTCGTTTTTTTACTTGCGAGTCACTTTTTACGGATAAAAACATGAAAGACGCGCAATATGATTTCGATGCGACTTGACGCTACAGATGCACGACGCGTAATGACGGCTATCGCGCGAAGTAACGTTCGCGTGCGACGCGTTGCCAACTTCTCTCGGTATACGCGTGGCCGCGTTCGAAAATTGGAGCGTTTAGAGCGCGTTTTCTTTCTCGCGCTCGAAGTGAGATATCGACTCGTATACAAAACACACTTTTAACGATAAATGCGCACATTTATATAGCTTGTATTATATATGTTATTTTCTAAATTCTTTGAAGTGGAATCTCACTGTAAAGACTGAAATATTACGCTTGAAAATTGAAAATTCTGTCACTCTTTTTCAAAAATACTTTCTAAATTCTTTAGTCTAGTCTTGAAAAAAAATGACTCAATTTTTATTCTTTAAGAATAAGATTTCACTCCTTAGAGCGACTAAAAATAAAGGATTTTAAAGGATATATTGAGACAAAATTCTGATTGAAAATGAACGAATCAGAAGATCCCGACATATGAAACAGAATTATCTCAACTAAAATTGTAATAGATTTAACCAGAAAATTCTGATTGTCTATTTTCGACTAGAATTAATGCAACCAGATTCTCTTTCCAGTGTATAAAGTCTTAGAAATAAATGTTCGCATTTATCGATAAAAGCACGTTCTAAATACGGGCTGTCCCACGTAGCACAGCAACGCCTGCAAAGCGCTCAGAAAGCGCTTATGCAAGTGACATAAGCGCTTTCTGAGCGCTTTGCAGACGCTGCTGTGCTACGTAGGATTTATTGTAACTCATTACATTTAATACCACTATTGCCATTATTATGCTAATATTACCACTTAACTTGAACGCGCGCTGTGAAATCGGCATCGTATAGTTTAGGTCGTGCCATGTATCGCGCTGTTTGAAGAATCTTCGAATATCTTCAAGAATCCTGAAAATACGCAGCTACTTACGTTAATCTCAGCGTACCGCGTTGCAATCTACACTTTCGATATTCGTTTTCATCCGCAATGCATTTTCTTATGAATAAAATTACGGAGCGACTTTCTTACGCCTGAAGACGTTTTGGCGCCTAAAGACGCCCAGCGCGAAATGACGATCACCGCGTGAAGTATCGTACGCGTGCCTTGCAACGGGTTGCCAACTTTAATCCGCGGTCCACGTTCCGAAAGCTTTAGGCCGCTATTACATTTGTGCGTTTTCATCATACGATGTTTTCATCATTCGTCATACGACAAATTTTTCAAGCCTGTCGATTGGCTATAGAATAAAGAGATCCGAAGACCTCTCTGTCCTACACACATTTGTCGTACGACAAAAACGCACAAATGAAATATCACCTTTATCGTTTAGAGTTCGCTTTCTAGACGCTCGAAATAAGATATTTATTGCAAAACTCTTTACATTTAATACTACTATTGTTATTATGTTGTACTATTGTTATTATATTTAATACTACTATTGTTATTATTGTTGTGCCAATATTGCTACTGGATATATCACAAATGCAATGCGGTGAAATTGATATCATATTGTACTCTTGAAAGATTGAAATATCTTTAACCTGCAATCTGAATTTTTTTTGTCCAACCCAAGTTCTTTTTATTGTTCTACATGGAAAGAATGATTTTGCTGAAGTACCTAGATCTAAAAATAATTCTGTTTGACCATCAAAATAATTTTGTTTGATCATCAAAATAATTGTGTAAGAAACTCAAATGTTATTATAAGCAATGCTACAAAAAGTTTGTACAGTCTAGCAACCAGTTTGTGCATCTTACAGAATTATTTTGACAGTCTTTCAAAATTATTTTCGAATCTGTACCTAACGAAATTTTTAGATATTTATGTAAAATCATTCTTTCCGTATAAACTTTTAAAAAATGAACAAGGGTTACTTTTCAACATCTCTGTTACCGAACAGTTTTTTTAACTGAAATGTTAAAACCTTTATTAACAGCTCTCCTTTATTTCGCAGAAATCTAAGAGTGAAATTTTACTGGTGCCAAGAAAGATCCGAATTGCAGACAGAGGATTAAGAATCTTGAAAATACTCAGCTACTTACGATAATCTTAACATACCGCATTGCAATCTACATTTCCGATTGGCTTGCACTCGCGATGCATTTTCTTATGGGTAAAATTACGGAGCGACTTGGCTACGATTTGGCGCCTAAAATCTCACGGCGCGAAATGGTGGCTGTCGCTTGAAGTATCGTTTGCGCGTGTTTAATTTCCGAAACCTATCATATAAAATTCATAGGCCAGTATTCATAGTCGATTTTTATATTTAAGACTGTCTTAAATACCATCTTAAGACGTCATAAGCCAATCAGAGATCGATATTCACAGCCGGTCCTTATATTTAAGATTGTCTTAAATACAGTCTTAAGATGTCATAAATAAGTTAATCAGTTAAGAGTGGTATTTATAGTCCGTTCTTATTTTAAGAATGTGTTAAGTAATATCTTAAGATGCTCTTACAGCCCTTTGAGATTGGCTTAACATCTTAAGATTATACTTAAAACAGTTTCAAATACAAGAACAGACTATAAATATCGGCCACAGAGTATTAACGTCTTTTAGACATTTAATGTCTCAAAATAATATGGATTATGAATACCGACCAATATTTTTAAGACATGATACAATCCACTTGAAATACTTCGAATACTTCGGAACATTTGATTGACCAATCAGAAGAAAAAATTTCACCAATCAAAAATGGTTCAAAGTATTTGTTGCATCAAGTGAAGCAACAAAACAGAATATTTATAACTTATCACATAGATTATTACATGTATTATTAATTATTAATTATATAACAATATGACGTGAAATGGACGTTCGCAGCTTAGATTATATCACCGATGAGACATTATTAATAACTTGCGCATACATTTTCTTAATTAATTACAAATTAATTAATGCGACCGCCGGGAGCGTAAATGTACTAGATTACAAACATTGCATACTGTTAAACATTTAAAACATCTGACATAAATATCTGAATAATTAACCTATAATGCAGTATTAATGATCACGCAGTAATCATAATGATTTATGATTATCCAGATGTTTCGCAGATAAGCGCAAAAATATTACATGTATCTCTGCGAAACTACATTCGTTTTCATAGTTTTCACTCACATGGATGATCGGCCATAGATGAAAGCTATGAAATACAGCTTCAAATATAGATGTACGATATTCTTGCGTCCGACGTCCAAAGTACGTACAGATATCTATGAAGTATCTAAATAACGATAAATCGTAAAATTATCCTTATATTATAAATTATTCGTTCAAATATCGATAGTCACCCATACTGCTGTGAGACGATCAGATCTTTAATTAATGTCTCGTCGGTGATCGTATATTCTACATCACGCTACTCAAATATAAGTACTGAAAACATGTGGCTATTTACAATAATCTGACATAATAGCCGCAAGTTGTAAAAAAAGTTATGAAAACGTGGAGTGATTGCGATGCGTCCTAACCGTCGCAACGCATAATGGCAGCTATCGCACGACGTATCGTTCGATTGCAATTCGCACGTCACGGCAAATATTTATATTCGCATTATCGCCATTCGCAACTCGTTACGCAGCCACATTAATTGATCGCGCATTGTTTCGTCCCGGTATTCCCGAGACTCGTCATTATTCGCGAACAGTAAAATCTGCGAACGAGAGTGAACGATTTTTGTGTGATTAAGGAATTAAGGAATGCGAATTAGCGCATCTTGGCGGCAATCAATTCGACGTTCGAGTGTACATGTTGCCTACTTTTGCCGTGGGTCGTGATCTGAAATTTCCAAAAATGCATTATAACTCTTATGATACAGGTTGGCTACGTTTAGCAGAGAAAACTAATTAATAAGCGCTCAGTGATTTTTTAATTATTGATGCATTCAGGATAATCGCTCACTGAGCGGCTCAGTGAACCCTTTCATCTCTCTGATTAGCATATTTCATTAGATTCTATTAGGAGGGTGATTTAGTTTTGAAGATTTTGCAAGAGAGACGGTTTTGCATTATTGTCAGTGTTATCAAAGATATTCCGATCACAGCTATTATTTCTTAATGCTTTAATATTATTATTATATTTAGTCGTTTACTAACAATGGACGCAGTAAACATCGTGTTTATACCATTTAAAAAATGGAGCTTTCTAAAGAGTTTTTTTTGACATGCGTTGTTTTTGTTTTTTAATCAGAAGAAAACTAAAGATCATAGAACTCTGATAGAAATTTATGGTGATATTGCTCCATCAATTAAGACATATGAATATTGGTTCGGTCGATTCAAATGTAATGATTTCAATGTTAACGACAAAAAGCTGGAAAATGCAGATTTGCAAGCATTATTGGACGAAATCCAGCACAATTCATTACAAAACTTGCTAGAGAATTAAATGTTGATCGTACAACAGTTATTAAATGTATATGATATGTTGTTTAAATAAATCAGGTTTTTTTTTAAAATAAATTTAGAAAAAATACTCTCAAAACTAAATCACACTCCTAATAAAATATAGACCAATCAGAATGAAAGAGCTCACTGAGCGCTCAGTTAGCGGTTGTCGTTCTGAATGCACCCATTAAAGGATCAAGGAAAGGAAGGGCCTTACTGATCAGTTTTCTCTAAAATGTCTTTGCAGAACTTTTTGCAGCATTGCTCATTATGCTTTCAATTCCTATATAATTATTTTGATGGTCCAATAAAATTATTTGTAGATCTGTATCTAAATTTTTAGATACTTTAACCAATCGTCCTTTCCATGTAAATCTAGATAATAAATAATAAATATAATATAGAATAATATATAAAACTATAAGAGATAGTAATAATATATAAATTATTTTCAAATCTGTATCTAGCTAAATTTCTAGATACTTCAGTAAAATTCTTTCTTTCGTTTCTTTCGTGTATATATTCATAATTTATGCATCAAACGTCGTTAATATATTAGGTGTAGTAAAAATAATGGATTTCTTTTTACTACATCTAATATAATTACAGTAGTAATTCCAAAATACATTAACTTCAGATGTAAGTTAAGCAAATTTAATCTTGAACGATAACATTCGTCATGAACGTACTCGCGGCTGTATTCCATTTGACTTTATCGCCAACACTTCTTTTCTTTTATCTTTCCCGTCGATCGGCCAAAAGAGCTTTCAACTCGAAAACGCGGTGAATCAACACCGAGTCGATGGGTCACGGACCGAGAGAAAGAGGATTCCTCGATATATTAGACATCGACTATCGGGGCGCAGCGATCGACCATTTTGATGCACGGCGGCGCTTCTTTGCTTGCGAAACAAACAGAGGCAATTTAGAGATCCTCCGCGGGGCTGGATAGACTCGACAGAGAGACCGATTCTATATTCTCCCGTCCGCCTGTGTCTTTTTCTTTTCTCTTTCTCTTCTACTTGGCTCCATCCGACCTGATCCCCTTCACCCTCCGCTGCCGTTCTTTACGTTTTCTTCACGTCCGGACCTCTGAGATTCCTCCCATTAACCCACTACTGTACGGATTTACTTCTCGCATTTTTAAAGAAATTCGCGAAGGAGAGAAAAACGTTTCCTAAATATCTCGCGACCGTCGTGAATTAACGTTTATCTAAATCAAATCCGAGTTAATCGCGTGCGCGAACACGAATTTTCAATAATTCTGCATGCCGTAGAAACGAGAAAGTAGTGGCATAAGTACGCACAGAAACGTGATTCTACAAAAATGAATTATTACGTCTCCTTCCTTTTTAAAAAAATAATCACTGTAAAAGAAGCGATTCGGAGTGACTTCTCTTCACTGTACTGTTAAATTCATAATGTTAAATTATATCCAATTTGAGATCTTTTTAATCATTTCTATAGATCGCCATTGTTTCTACTCAATATATCATTAATTTATCTAGAACAATTCAATTAAACAATTTAATCCAGGAAAATGTATTAAATTAAACTAAAATTTAATTTATTATTTAAATGTATACAATGGATATTGTTTACCATGAAACTAACTATAAAAATAGATTGATTTATATTTCGATATACATGGAGGTTAAAAAATGTTTAACTCAAGAGAATAATTATTATTCTTCTCTTGATGTTCAACGGTGAGAGAAAAATGTTTAATATTTATGACTATAATTGCATGGTAAAATAATTATGATGAGAAGCTTCATTTTTATATTTTTATTATTGCTATTATAATGTTCCCAGTAAGCAAGTATCATTTTTTTACATTCCGCAATATTGCAGCAACGTTGCAAATATATAGTTGATAAAAAAGCGATTATAATTATAATCGTTAAGTTATGCCAACTATATATATATTTTTAGTATAAACATTATTATTATTATTAGCATTTTCATATATAAACATCATCTTAAATATAATTATAATAATTATAGTTATTTTCGGTGCCAACATTATAGCAGTAATATAACTATATAAACAGAACTTCTCACCATAATTATTTTACCATGCAATTATAGTGACAAATATCAAACCCGTTTCTCTCATACGTGCGTTCATTGTTCCCTCGACACCACCTATATTTTTTCACGAGAAATTCAAACACCATTTTACCGCACGTTTAAATTCGTGCCAGCTTGTACCTCGAAAACTCGAATCCGTGCGAACGTCCTCCGATTTTTTTTTCTTTTCCACGGTTGTCTCTCGTTCGCGGTTTCTAAAAGTAGCATAAACACACGGACGACCATTTAATTAGACTTCTGGTCGCCCGAACCACCCACCTTCGCTCGTAATTACATTCGTCGACTATCGTCGTAGTCGCCGTCATCCAGTCTCTCTTGGAAGCCATGGATAAATAATCCGGTCACGCGAATCCATGCGTACCGCAAGAACATCAGGACGCCTATTATCCAGAACATCAAGATCCACAGCACGCGCTGCAATGAGATTTTAAAAGCCAAATTGAGACACCAAGACCGAAATTGTACCAATAAGATTCATACGCGCGCGTACGAATCTACATATAACGAACGACGCGAAAGATAAACGTGAGATTCGAGCCGGCTATTCGATTTATTTCAAATTTCATTCAATTTTCCATCATTCGCTGCAGGATTCCGATAGATTTGTCAGATTTCAATAAACATATTAGACTTGAGTAATTTAAACGATCGAACCGCGCTCGGAATTTAATTGCGCGATGTCGAATGCGAGTGGTATAATATTTTTTTATTGTATATCCAGTATTGCGAAATTTATTCTCCGGTTTAATCGAAACCCCGTAAAACATTTGAAAGGCTATACACAATGGAACGTGTAATTTAACGATTGCTTTACAGTGTCATTTCGTTTAAACTAGTTGGCTAACATTCTATATCGCGTCGAATAGGTGCGATATTTCATTTTGTAAACGTGGTGCGAAACCACATCTCCTGATTACGCGTAATGGCGTGCGATCCGTACATGGCGTGAAACATTCGCGGTCGCTGCCCCACTCGATTCGCGGCAACGATTTGGGCAAAGAGATTCGGGGGCAGAGACCGCCTGTCGTTCCCTCGTAGAAATATGCGCGTAATACGTGTTGCCCGAATACCATCCGTGCCGCCTGCAGCGGTGGAGAGACGCACAAAGGAGACCAACGAATCGTACACCCACAAAGGGGAGAAGCCCGCGTCTTGCGACTCAAAGCGATCCCGCGCGATATTCGCGTGCAGGCAGTCGTGCGTCACCGGATACATATGTAGAGACAATTTCGGCGAATTTATATGCTAATTCGCCGTGCTCGTCGAGATTAACTTGCTGTTCTAGTTAACCATCGCGAATCCGAGAGCTCGGTCAACCCTTCCCCTCCTATCCCTTTCCTGGCTACCGCGCGACGACAAAGTCGCGCCTCGCAAACGAGTGACGTAAACACGACAGTCGTCGTGGTGCTCGTCCCACGAAATTCCACTCCGTCAATTGGACAAATCCGATCTCCGAATGTCCCTTTTACTGGCATTCGTTCCTTTCTGTTCAGACTTTCGATCCAAAGCACGGAGATTCACATACCATTCACAATTAGGAAAGCTGACTTGAATGCTGTAGGAATTTTCTCTTTTTTCCCCCTTTTCCAGAGAGAATGTTAAACAAACGTTACGCATATTAAAGAGGTCAAAAGTACAGGCGCAACTCACATAAATTTTGATAAAAACATGAATAACGCTAATCAAGTTCGAATAATTCATAAAATAGCGCCATAAATAAACTCGGAAATAATCACCTGGGATGATTTTCACATCCTCGCAGTCAAAAACAAAATTCAATTGTTTTTTTGATCGAAAATTCATATCATACATTTCTTTCCTTGTTTACAAAAATATCGAAAAAATATATGGTATACTCTCTAAATTTTTAGAGTGACTCTCACTTTGAAGAGAATCTCTTAAAAATTGAAGATTGAACTTTTCTTTTTCAAAACTGACTTATTTTTCACTCTTCTCAGAGTTTTAAACATTATATAAATTTTTTCAATATTTTTTTTTAAAACCTCCCAAGGAAATAAATGAGAAAAAATATTTATTTCCATTCCAAAGAATTTATAAGATATACATAATAATCTCAAATACTAATAAGTTCTAAAATCTTCAACAATGTACAATATGTAATTAATAATAGTGACTTTTAATTGAGATATAAAAAATATCCCAGGTGATCATTTACAAAAAAAAACAGATCATTATTCCTGGCTTAAAAGAAGAGCATAAACAGACAGCGACTGACTCTCTCATTCGGTAAAGTAATTAATCATAATTCTACGACAATTATCTGAACAATCGACGTTAATCTCTCGTTAATTTTGCAGCGTTAGTAAAAGCACCTCGATCTACGGGGCGCAGCGTGAATGATCTATATTACACGATAAAAAAGCGACAGATAGGAAAAGAACTTTATTGCTTCAACGTGTTTCTCGTCAAACGATATTAACGATAAGAAACTTATTTCCGATAAGTTTTTGTAGATACGCTAAACATTTTAACGGAGAAAGCGTGTAATTCAAAGTATTACCGTGAAGGATTAAGAAGAGGTGCTCGTCCCGGCTTTCCATTCCATCGCCTTTTTGCAAAAGAAAGATCTTCTCGGTCTCGTCTACATTATCTTCGCGTGTATGTAAGCTTCGCAACATAATTTATTTACGCATAAAAAAAATAATTGTTTCCAGAGAAAATAATACAAAGCGAAAACATAAACTTCTTAAGTACACACAATTGAGTCGTTCGTGTCCTGCGCACTTCTTTTCTTTGAAATACTAAGAATATTGGCTAAATAGTGTCTTTGTTCTTTCCTTTAATACCCAACTTTACAAACACATTCTAAACTTATTAAAATATAGAATAAGGTAATGAATTTCAAATATGGTACAAATAATTCTGGACAAAATAAGATTTGAATTCAATTTCTGAAGTTCAAGTTTAATTTTTTTTCCTGGTTGATATTCCCACATTAAGAGGATTACTAAATTTAAATATCGAAAATTGGATTCAAATTTTATTTTGTACAGAATTGCATCATGTTCGAAATTGTACCACTTTACCTTATTAAGAATCAATTAATAATTTTTGTGAATTTGTAAAAGTGATTATAAAAATTAATAGAAGGCACGAATGACAATTGTGTATAATAAAGGACTGGAAAATCATCATATGTAGTAAGAGTTTAATGCGATATAAAATCGTAAAGAATCATATAGAATCGATATAGAATCATAAAGAATTAAAGAAAGAAAGGCTTCTTTCTTTAACTCTTTACAATCCTATATCAAGTTAAACTCGACGTAATGCGTTGTGGTAGCCTGTTGCATAATTCTTCAAGCATTCAAATCTGCGCAGCCTAGAATCTATATAATCGATTATACTTTAAAATATTAAAAAATAAATAATGATAAGAAACTTATTTCCGATTAGAAAAATAAATAATAAAAATCCATTTATATTAGATCAGCCAATTATAAAGTCGAAAATGAAATCTTTAATGTTCATTCGCGAGAAATAGTTTGGTCAGCAAAAAATTAAATGTACAATGAGAAATTGAAAAAACTAACAAAAAACTAATAAGTTTTTTATATACTCCTTTAATTGAAACAATTTAGAAAAATATATAATATGTGACATGTCAATTTTTTAAAAGAAAAAACGTTGGAGATATTATTATATGCAATACAATACTCCAAGCGTTACGACAGAAAAAAATATTGCTGAAGAAGATTTGAACTATGAATTGAAACGGTATATATATTTAATATTAAGAAGATTTGCGCTAATTAATAACCAGCATTGACTCCTATTGTATTTAACATTATTATTATATATTTTTCTAAATTAATTAAATATTCAATCGTGAAATTTTGTTCACCGCCATAGATACCGCCATTTTCGCATTCTCGCTATTCCATCAGATATCTTGATAGACTTGATACATTTTGCGTTCACAAATACATTTGTCATTTCGCGCGACAAATTATCTCTGAAAAGAAACTCGTGATCGAAGCTCTCGATCAAGTTCGCCGCTGCTACAACACTGCAGTCACCATCTATCGTCTATTTTCGGACAAGGCTTGGAGATTCCGTAACATCCGTCGATATCGCAGAGGAAAGTCGAGTGTTCCTGATGATAAAGCGTGCGATAAGACATCACGGTAGTATCTCGGCACAATAATTTTACGCGGCATGTTTAAATTTCCAACAGCAATTTAATTTCAAACAAACAATACAAAAAAAAGATTTACGCTTTATCGATTCATTGAAAAACGAGTCGATCTTTACATTCTCGATCGAGAAACTCGACGACTTTTATCAGAGTTTATGTAATAATTTTTTAAAGAAATAAAATACCTTTTAAATATATTTAAAAAAAAATAGATAAATGTCGCACGAAATAATTTCTCGAGAATCGTTCGACGCGTCGCCACAACGGAGGAATGAAGGGACGGCCGAAGGAAAATGCGAAATACATGAAAACACCTGAACCTCGGTCTCGTGGAGACTTACAGCGTTGATTTTATTAGTCTACATCCAATAACAAAAATATATTATGTGACAAACGAAATTGAAGGCGGGATCGCTCGTTCCCTCCTCGTTGGGCTCTACGTAATATTCACTTGCGACTAAAGCCTTCTCCCATATCAATATTCGAAACACAAGAGAATATCCTCTTGCGTACAGGAATAAAGGGAAAACTCATCAATTACACGATATAACGGCGTTACAGACAACAATTTCGTATTAGTTGCGAGTTACATGGGCCGATGATTTTCCGACGCAAACGAATAATTTCTAACACGTTATATATACATATATATATATATATATATGTATATATATATATATATATACTTTTTATTTATACTAATCCTATTTTATCAAAAGCTAACGGACACGTGAAATTGACGGCTTGGCGAACCGATAGCGGGAATAAAGGAGATGTGCACGGAAAAAGATTTTTCTGAAGCAGCTAAAAATTTAGCTAAATACAGATTTGAAAATATTGAGTTGTTTCCGTAGATTTTTCAGTAAGTGACGTTCAAAAATCCAAAAATTCTACGGGAGAATAATTATAAAATTATTCAAAAGATAGAAACATATTGTGAAACGAAATGATAGTAAATATATTAAAATTATTTTTTGCTAAAAATATTTTTTATTCGAATTTGGCTTGAAACTTCACACAGACTTTCTAGACAACTCTGCAATATTGTTAAAAATAATTAATATAGCACGGATCATTTCAATAATATTGCAATAACATTGAAAATGATATTGCAAGTTCCTGTATGTAAGGGATGTTCGAGAATATCAAAGTTTTTTGCAACGTTATTCGTTATGCTTAAACGTTCTACATAATTGTTTCGACAGTCCAACAAAATTATTTTCAGATCTAGCTAAATTTTCAGGTACTTTGTGTT